CTCTAAATAATGGATTACTTCGCGGTAAAGGGGCGGCTAAAAAAGAGGCGATCTCCGCATCTGGTTTGGTCCTCTGGCACGATCGCCGGTCTTCGGCGCATCCGCGAGTCTCTATGTTCTCTCCGACTATGGTTCTGTTCTCGGTGTGAACATATCTGGTGAGCTGTAGCGTCATCGACATGGCGGCGTTGTTGCTGCTCCCCCCTCTATCTCTCTCTCTCTGACTATGGTTCCGTTCCTGGTGGGAATCGGTGTGGTTCCCTATAGTGTTGTTGAGATGGAGGCAGTCCTCCTCCTCTGTCTCTCTGTTACGGTGAAGCTAAATTCAACAATCTGATCATGATCAGGTGTGCATGAGTCCCGTGCTGGCTTCCTTTCGGGCTGGGAAAGGAACAGGTAGATGAAAGATGCCGGTCAAGTATTGCAACAATGATGCACACGCCTCTGCTACTTATCCTTCTACAAATGGATTTTGTATTTTTGCTTAACCCACCCACTAACTTCATTTTTTTGGAAAAGGAGGAATACCTCCGGCCTCTGCATCAGTCGATGCATGCAGCCATATTACTAGAAATCGAAACAGAGTCTTAACATTCAAGTAAGCTCAAAATCCGAGCAAAAAAGGAGAAAATAAGTATGCAAAGCGCCACATCCGGCAATAAAGCGCCACATCCGGTGATAAAGAACAAGCTATGATGCCTACACACCTAGCCTATTATTAACTCGCCATCCAAATCAGCTGAAGATAGCCCATGCTACCATCTCCCAGCGGTTGCACCCAATAACCATAGGCCCCCTGTAGTCCGCATGTGTGAGTAACGACCACATACGATTCCAGGATGTAGCTCTGTAGATAACCTGCAAAAAATTGGTGAATGGTGTACCATTAAAAATCATATCATTTCTACTGTTCCATATAGCCCATAATAAAGCACATATTCCTATTCGAATATGTTTAGCCATGTGTATGTCTACTCCATTAAGCCACGTCTCAAATAACGTGTTTATGCTCATTGGAGGTTGGATGTTAAAAGCTATATGAATAGATTGCCATAACAGTTTTGCAAGTGGACACTCGAGAAAGAGGTGTTTAGTCATTTCGTTTTGATCACAAAAACAGCACCTGGGGTTACCAACCCAATTCCTTTTCATCAAATTATCTTTGGTCAATATGACTTCTTTGTGGATGAGCCACATAAATATCTTGATGCGGAGTGGAACTTTAATCTTTCATATGTGCAAAGACCTCGACAATGGCCCATAGTCAATTAAGTCCAAATACATGGATTTCACAGAGAATAATCCATTTATGGTTAACATCCAACTAATTTTATCCACCTGGTTTGAAAGTTGAACATCCATCAACCTACGGACCAGGTGTAACCAAGCATTCCAACGTTCCCCTACAAGAGATCTCCTAAATTGGATGTTAAGTGGTACTGAATTTAATATTGTGGCCTCATAATCCTCCTTATGTTGCACAATATTGTATAGAGAAGGGTATTGTAAAGCCAAAGGCGTCTCCCCTAGCCATGTGTCCTCCCAGAATCTAGTAGAGGTACCACTACCAATTAGTAACTTCACACGCTGGAAAAAAGTTACTTTTGTCTTCATTAACCCTTTCCAAAACGGTGAGTCCGTTGGCCTTGCATTCACCTGGGCCAAAGTCTTATTATTTAAGTATTTATTCTGCATGATTTGTATCCACATGCCTTCGGTCTCCGTAGATAGTCTGTATAGCCATTTGCTAAGCAAACATCTATTCTTTATCTCTAAATTCTCGATCCCTAACCCACCCTGGTCTTTTGGTCTACACATGATATCCCATCTAGCCAGTCTGTATTTCTTCTTGGCCTCATCGCTTTGCCAGAAGAATCGGGATCTATAAAAGTCTAATCTTTTCCGCACCCCCACCGGTACTTCAAAGAAAGTTAGGAGGAACATCGGCAAACTCGTCAAAACCGAGTTAATCAACACCAGCCGTCCTCCGTAAGACATTAGCTTGCCCTTCCAGCAGCTTAATCTTTTTTCAAATCTATCTTCTATACATTTTCGTTCTTTTTCTGTTAACCGTCTATGATGAATTGGGATTTCGAGATAACTAAAAGGTAAGGATCCCATTTCACAACCAAACAAGTTTCTGTAATTGTCTTGTTCTTCTTTAGCTCTCCCAAAGCAGAACAATTCGCTTCTATTGAAGTTGATTTTTAGCCCGGACATTTGTTCAAAAAGGCATAGAATAAGCTCCATATTCCTAGCTTTTGCAAGATCATGTTCCATGAAAATAACAGTATCATCCGCGTATTGTAGGACGGAGACACCCCCTCTACAAGATGGGGAACGAGACCTCCTACTTGGCGATTCTCTTTTTCCCGACTAATGAGTACTGCCAACATATCTGCTACAATGGTTAACAACACAGGAGACATGGAATCTCCCTGTCGTAACCCCTTACGTGTCTGGAAATAATGACCAGTGTCATCATTGAATTTTATCCCGACACTGCCTTTCTGTATGAATGAATCCACCTGAGACCTCCAGGCTTCGTTGAACCCCTTCATACGTAAGGCTTGTTGAAGGAAGGGCCATTTGACC